GACGATTTACATATAAATGTTCAGGAAATGAAGAAGTATGACTAAGCTGATTGGTCGTGTGTATTCGTCTGTGTGTCTGGACAATACTATAAATATCATGCTCATTATCGTTGTCAACCTGTGTTGAAACAAAAACTCCTTTCTAAATTTGGATCCCACAAAGATAGCAATGACATGTTTGTTCATGATTTTGTTGTAATACATTTTCATGTAAATACGTCCTTAATAGATGCGTCTTTTCATGTAGATCAGATTGAAAAATATTTATTGGGAGAAAATTAATAAATTGTTAAAAAGAAATAATGTGTCCAGATATTTTTTATTATAACCGTGTTACCGAAACTATTTGAAATAATTGCTTGATTTATAATTAAAGAGTCAAATAGTAAGTTTTAATTATTGCATGACATACGAATAGACGTCCTTTATAGGACGATTTAAATATAAATGACCAGGAAATGTATAGAGCTAAGGCATTATTGTTTTATATCGATTGTATTAATTAGTCATGTTGATAAAATTTGTGCTGGAATCTGATGTCATGGTCGCTTGGCATGGCGGCTTAGCAACGCATCCATAGCAACCCGCCCCTTCGTGACATTTTGTGGAACTATAACTTCCTTGTCTGTTGTGACATCATCTCTCTCCACCTTATCTTCTGCCTCCCTATTGCCTGGCGACGCCCTACTGAGGCGGCAGTAAAGTGAAGGGGTAGCTACTTTTGCTGGTTCCCTACTTTAGTGATGTTTTTTGGCTAAACTGAAGGACTTAATAGTTTTTGAAAACCTCGAAAACGTAAGTTAGGTTTATAAATGTCTCTTACATTGTTATAAGAGATTTCAGACTGTGATGAGCAACATGTAATATGCGACGGTCATTTTTTCCCTGCCCATCCCCACGCACTACTCGTGCTTAGTGATTTAGTTCCACCGATTGTTATCACAGTGTATTACACTTTTATTAATAATAATTCTTTCAATTTTCACTATTAATGAAAACGTATGTTTGAGATACTTTTCACATTACCAATCCATTATATAGGAAATCGTACCTTTGGTGAATAAACGTTACGTTAAACTGGACGAAAATCCTATCCACTGGACATTTTTCAACCCTGCTACTCTGTATGAAGTCGGCTTTGACGCCCACGTGAGAGGCGCGCTGAAGGCGAGATCACAGGCCGTCGATAATTACGTCAATCCCGAAGTAAGTTTTTCACTAAACATTCCAAGAGAAAAGTGTAATTAAAAGCAATTTTAAATATCGATATTAATAATTCTACAAAAGTTTTGATTTCAAATATTATATTTCTGGTCCAAATAAATCAACCTTTTGGCTATACTATGGGCTAATACGAAATTTCAGCTACCAATTTAATATAAGTAGTCCCCTGTACGTTCGATCTCTTCTAAACATAAGTCCAAATTCATAGATTTTTTACATTGAATATATCTATATGGAGAAAATATGAAATGTTTATGTTAATTTTTAAATTTGTTTAATGTTGCTGTCTGTTAAATTCACTTCTTGTATTGTTCATGAAAAGAATAAAAATTTTATTACAAACTTTACAGAGTTGTAGGAGACATATTAATTGAGCGAGCGAAACAAGTGAATGCGTACCATAGACGTAACCATTACGGCCGGAGTCCAGGGCTCGCCTTAGGGCTCTGGAAGCTCTTGGATTCTGAATTAAATTTTACGCATTCTCCTGTTGATGGTTAGGGCGCTCGACTCGCAATCTGTGGGTTACGGGTTCGAATCCCTGTCCCACCAAACATGCTCGCCCTTTAAGCCGTGGGGGTGTTATAATGTCACGGTCAATCCCAATATTCGTTGGTAAAATAGTAGCCCAAGAGTTGGAGGTGGGTGGTGATGACTAGCTGCCTTCCCTCTAGTCTTACACTGCTAAATTAGGGACGGCTAGCGCAGATAGCCCTCGTGTAGCTTTGCGCGAAATTAAAACAAACAAACTCTCTTTTCAATCTATCCCAGTAAAAATGCATAAATGTTAAGAAAATTAATCTCAGGAAGTGCCCATGCTAGGCCGAAAAGAGAGAGGGCCCGGAACCCACCGCTCTCCCGCTTCCTGTATCACTGTTTTGTGCATGTGTGTTTTTAAAATGAAGTATTATTTTAAACAAAAAATACCACGACGAGCTTTAGAAATATTCCCAAAAAATAATGCAAAGAAATAAGTTATTAATGTTTTTATTTGTTTCGGATATTCGCGCAAAGCTACATAAGGGTTATATGCGCTAACTGTCCCTAAATTTCAACTGATAGACTAGAGGGAAAGCAAATAGTCAAAAGCACTCACCCACCTTTCGGACTACTCTAATCAAATAGTGGAATTTGACCGTCATTTTTATGATGCACCTACCACCTCAAAGTGCAAATCATGGATCTTGGGATCAACAATTTATTACTAATTTATACAGAAAAAAAAGAAATCATCAGGTGCTAATTATCAAAAAATATATAAATCCATAATTATTAATTATTATAGATTAATACCAAGAACCAAATAAAAACAGCAGTTTACAGGTGTCCAAAAAGTTGTAAAGGTGTTAAACCTTTTACACAAATAAAAGTTACATGTTGCAATTTAAGTCTCTAGAAAGTTCCACTATTTAAACAGGTAATACAAGAACCTGTACAAACTGGCTTGAGATGGTTAGAATTGTTTGTATACTAATAGTTAAAGCATGTAACCTAATGGATTGTTGGATACTGCACTAAGACTTCTATCCGGCTATAAAAATAGTTAGCCACACCATTATACAACTTGATATCTTCCTTTCTCTGTCCAGTGCAGACATATTTGAAAAGTTTTCTCTTCATCCCAATAGTCAGTTGAAGTCACAATGGAATCTTATAAGCCTTGCAATTGTTCTCGCCAAGTAAAATGGTAACCATGCTTGTTATGCTTGTTTGTTTTGTTTTTATAATTTCGCGCAAAGCTACTATGGGGCTATAAAATATAATAACAAAAATATCGACGAATACGTACAGTAGAAAACAAAAAAAATATATTTTAAAGTCCCGGGTTTTTATTATTATTCTAAGGATTTATACACACTTTTGAATTTGGGAAATCTGTTGATATTTAAATATCTTTTAATAAAATGTCTTCAGTTATCTTTGTATTTTGTCCTTTTATTGTTTAAATTTTTCAGCTTAGAAATCGACTTTTTCAATCAAAACACAGAAACTATGGACTTGACCTATCTGCTTTCAGTATACAAAGAGGAAGAGATCATGGGGTACCGGGCTACACAAGTTGGCGTGACGTATGCAATCAATCAGCGATATATACTTGGGAAGACTTGCATGGTATTATGTCCGATCAATCCATACGAATTTTGAAACAATTGTACAGGTAAAGCATTTCTTGATGAGTATTTTTATATTTCAATGCTGGTTGAAAATATTGAACAAATATTTAACTTAGCTCGATGATGATTTTAAGAAATGTAGTTCTGGACTGTTTATTCAGAGGCATCGGAACCGGAGGTGCTGTAGCACCCCTACTTTTACATATTTGAATTATTATAGCAAATGTAAGTTATATTATTATATTATTTTTCTGGGGGGCATTCCTCCAGACCCCCATATACCGAGCTGCCTTAGGCATCACGGGAACTGCTTTTAGCAGCTCCTTATATATTTAATTTCTCATTGGAAATCTGCCTGTCTAGCCGAGCATCCCCACTTTGCAACTTCTTCCTACATCACTCTTATTATACTCAATACTTTGAGGTGATGAGCAATAGTATGTTGTTTCCTTATTGGAAGAGAAAATAAAAAATTTCGGAAACAACAGTTTCAATTGCTGTGATATCCAAATGATACATTATGAAAATTTGTGATGTAAGTCCTCGAAACTAGAAAAGCAATACAATTCATTATACTAAATAATTATGATTATAGTAATGTTCCATTGAATATTATTGGTTTTCCTCCAATGAACCTGTATCAATATTTCATTTTTCAAAGTACCAGATTTTTTCTTCTGAGTTCAAGATAAGCCAAAAACAAAAACACATAAGTATGTTTTCTTAAATAATATACATTTTTAAAAGAAAACTTCTTGGAGGTTTCGTTTACACTGCTAGAAAGTCCAGAGTCTGCTGTATCCAAATATGCAACCTACATGATGGCAACCTATTTCAGTCGGGAGCTATGTCCAGTCAAAGTGGTTGCACTAACTTATCAACAACGGTCACGCAATTGAATTGATTATTTCTTTCTTAATTCCCAAATCAAATCATGCGACATTTATTTAATTGTCTATTTAACCCTACGTTAGTCTTCCGGGTTTTTCACGGACCCCAAATATTTTGTAAACATCGGCGCCGACAGATAGAAGCACGTACATGTTTGTTGTTCTCAGTAGCTTCAGTATTTGTTTAGTTTGTGTTAAATTATTACAGTTAGTTTAGGTCGCAAAAAGAAACAAGTTGTAATATTTAATGTTCATTTATTGATTAATAAAGGAAAATGTTTTGAGTGTTAGTGCTTTTGTTTCCAAAATAATAGCTTATTATTATTTATTTATTTTAAATTAACTTTTTATGATTGGGTCCATTCGGACCCCCGAAAGAATGAGTTTGGAAAATGTTCACAGAAGACTAACACAGGGTTGGAGACCTTGTTCTTGATGTTCTGATCTGGCAGAAGGTTATTATACTATCACCAATGCCTTTGTTAGCACCAAACCTATTTTCCAGTGCCACCACAGCATCTTTGAGCTTGATAGGTGCATTTGCCTCAACAAGGACTGTCAAAAAGTTCATCACGATTGCATCCACAGCATCTGCACAGCTTGCAAACCGAACATATCGGAACCTTGCACATGTAGGTATTCAAAAGAATATAGATGATTGATGATGACTTCATGAAAAGTAGTAACGCTCCAGTCAGCAGGACTTGAATCTATTGGACTCTTATCTGAAAAATGTCCAGCGAAGAACAAGAAGAATCGTGTAGCGGACCGGTTGGTTACAGAAGAAATACTGGCATTAATTATGGGATTTCTGTTGATGATGTGGCGTGTCATAACCTAATGGAAACTGTAAATTGTAATCGTCATATCTCATCCTACGCTACACTCTTTATAAGTTTCACCAAAATCGGATAAATGTCGAATTTTCTACGTCCGATCTTTGCTACCTCTTGTCGAGGGATAAATCCTGCGTTGAAGTTTTATCTACTAATGGACATAAAGTATATAAATTGAAATACTTCATCAATATTAAACTTCAACTGCCCAGTTCTTTTATTAGTCTATACCTGAAAGTAAAAATAACATATTTCTCTTTATTTTTTTTTAGAAACAGTGAACCTGATATTTCATTATTATTGTACTTGGTAATGAGTAATATTTTCTTAGGCTATTTATCTCTTTAATACAAATATTTAGGATTTTTACTTTTCATTATCTTGAAACATAAAATTCAATCAAAGTGCTATTACATTTAAATGCCCCCCCCCCCCAGTGGCACAGCGGTATCTTTGAGGACTTACAACGCTAGAAACAGGGTTTCGATACCCGTAGTGGTCAGAGCACAGATAGTCCATTGTATAGCTTTGTGCTTAACTTCAAACAAACATACATCTAAACATATTTTCTAGGTGACTCTTTAGTGATTATATAATAAAAATTTTGTTCTTTTTTTGACAGTTCCATAAACATATCTTTATACATCACACAATTTTTTGTGAAATGAGCCGCCGTCTTTATCCTTTTTATTTTCTCGTCATAGGTCAGTCCATGATATTGATTTAATCCCTGGAGCTCTGTCCGAGCGACACCTCCCGGGAGCATTGGTCGGTCCAACTCATGCATGTCTCATTGCTGAACAGTTTTACCGAACTAGGGTAGGAGACCGTTTCTGGTATGAAAACGGTAATCAGTCAGGCTCTTTTACAGAAGGTCAGTATATAAAAATAAGTCAGACTTTTATTCAAAAATTTCTATCTATTAGTAATACATATTTTTATAACACTTTATAAACAATAATTAAAAGGAACATTTGTAACATAAGTTTTTTATTTGCTGAAGTTATTCTGGTAGCTATAATGAAAAAGAAAAATAGGTAGTTTCTGAAAGTCACGTAGAGCAAACGTCAAATGTACAAATGTAACAACAGATTGTTTCTGTCAGTTCATGAAGTTCGTAGAAATCCTATTATTTGTGTGGGCATAGGCTTTCTTTTCACGATGGTCGCGGGTGGCATTTTTTCTGCACTTTGTCAAAGATAGAATACCTTTTATTTTTGATAAGGTACCATCGTGTGTGCCCTAGATACAGAAACTATACCGTTTCCTACTTTTGATACCCACGGTATGGCACTGTACAATAAATAGCTTGATTTTTTTTTCCCCCCAAAATTATGTTCTTAATCTTTTTTTTTCCGTACCGTAACTTTTATTTAGCCCTACAAAACTCATACGCTGCATCAATTTCGTTGATAGCAACTTAAATATTCTTTTTGATTGTTTCTGATTATTCTGATATAATAGTTTAAAATGTTTATTTATTTGCCTATTTCTTTACATTTAGCATAACAATTTTTTTTTCCTTTGTATGTTACTATCGGATATTTTGTACTCATAGGTCAGTTATCAGAAATCAGAAAGGTGACACTTTCTCGAATTCTCTGTGACAACTCAGACGACTTGAATAATATTCAACTCAAAGCATTTATGCTTGCAGATAAACAAAGGTGAGTGTTTTTTTTTGTTTCGTTTTTTATTATTACTCTGTTCATTTGGTTAAGCGACTGGTCTTTTCGTGATATTATTTCTCCGAAATGCCGCCTGAAGGGGTCACCTGTTTAAACCACTTTCACCACTATACAGTAGTGTGTTGTCTGTCAGTAGAGACTAAATTGGTGTCACACAAGGGATGCTTGGTGTTACATTTTGTACTGTAGTGACGTCACCAAAACTTACGCATTCTATGAATCACGAAATGAATTATGCACTTCTAGAGGCTACAACCCAGCGTGACATATGAACTTGAAAAGCAAAAAATAAAAATATTTGTTACTGTTAATTTTGATTTACTTTTGAAACAGAACGCTTTCGGGGAACCCGCGGAACTACATCTAGTCTTTAGACAAGAATTACCCAGAAATGATCGAAAGTTATGATGAAATTAAACGAAATGAATTCAAGCATTCATCTCTAGAATGTTGAAAGATTGTATCTCTTCGCTTTCAGAATCCTTTAATGGATCAGGGCGACCACCGGAGTGTTAGCTTCTAAGTTGTTGTTGTTGTTGTTTTTAATTCAGTAGGATGCACGAGTTTTTTAATCAATAGTTTTTCATTTTTTGTTGCTTTCAAGTGTTTGTTTTTAATATTGGCGACGAAAGTGACTCATGAAAAACTGTACACAGGAAGTAGTTTTCTGCATTTTCACTGGTTGTTTTAAAAACAAAAAAAAATATTCCACAAAATTTCAAAACATTAAGATGTTTTATAAATTGGTTTAAAAGAACTCCAAAAGAAGTTATTATTCATAACTCATAACAACTCTATGTTATTTTCGCTTTCTTCTTTCGTAATTTTTAAGATAGAACTCTTTCAGGTTTTGTTGCTAATATTTCTTTATATCTCATGGTGTTGGTGGGAATTTATTACTTCCGATCAGCCAGTTTCATTTATATGTAAGCCTTATTCAGTCTTTAGTACAATAAACGTAACTATTAGACAGTCCGGGCTATAGCTTTTCTTAATTGGGGTATGAGAAATATAATGGGACCAAATTTAAAATTAGATTTACGAACGGTATAATCTAGAGGAGATAATGAGATTTCAAGGTGTTCAACACCCCCCACTAACGCCAGAACAGCTGGTAGAAAGGTAATATAAACAACCGATAAAAAAAAAGATATGTCCAGGTTATTTACTGTTTGATAATCAATTTCACATAATAAAAACAAAATTTGAAATTAGTTTACCCTGTAAACTTCTACTAGATAATAAAAAAGTAACACTAAATAAAAACTTCGGCTTTACTTCCAGATAGAGGTTAATTGTATGATGCTGCTTCATAACTGTCACATTAAATACAAAGATTGTATGAATCAAAAACATTTAGCAAATTAATAAAATTCTGAAAAATTCAAAGTTTACTAAAGGACCTAACCGTAAGTTTCAGCACGTTTTAATAATAACCAGCGGTTAGATATAAATGGCCTTCTTCTTTTTCCCCTCATGAATTGTCAGGGTGCTTGATTCGTAATCTGCCGTCCGCGGGCTCGAATCTCCGTCGCCAAACATACTCGCCCTTTTAGCCGTGGGGGCGTTATAAAGTGATGGTCAATCCCACTGTTCGTTGGTTAAAGAGTAACCCAAGAGTTGGTGGTGGGTAGTGTTGACTAGCTGCCTTCCCTCTAGTCTAGCACTGATAAATTAGAGAGGACTAGCGCAGGTAGCGCTTGTGTACACTTGCGTGAAATTAAAAACAAACCACATCTATTGGGCCTAATGAGGTTACTCTATTTTGAATCCACGTTTACATGATCGATTATTCATTGACAGAAACTTATAGGAACAGTTTCCTTCCTCTCAGTTCACATTATTTTAATAAAAACAATACATTCCCGTTGAAAATATAGCTGTCGCTTAGCGTTCCTCTTTAAAATTACCGATCGCTTACATCACGTACATAGTAGTGTTATATCGTAAGTTTTAAAAATCAGGTTATAACGACAACTATATGTATTCACGGTCAACATGTTTCCTTTATAGCAACCCAGTTGTTTCATGTGATGATGCAAAACGTCTTCCCAAACTGAACATGGAGGCCTGGGCAGGCATGTGTAACAAAGAAGACAACGAGTAAGCTGCCGATCTTCAAGATCTCACCTTTTGTATGCGTATGAAAATATAGAAACCTACGTTAGATTTTAATTGTTTGTAAGGTTGAGTAGATATTAAATGTTTCAGATACATTCTTTCGTTTTATTTGTTGTAGCACAAAGTAGCACGATGAAGCATGTGCGCTGTATCTTATATAGGTTATGATGTATTTCATCCCTGTGCCTAAATTCTAAAACATTTTTTCTGGTATCCTTGATAAAAGCTCTTAGAATGGATCAAGTACAGAATAAATTGCAAAAATATTTTAAATAATAATTGGCCTACAGGTTTTGACTTTCCTTAATGTTTCGAACTTTCAACTTCAGTGATGTTGATATTAATGAATAAAAAAAAAGCGAAATAACATGTTAAGGATAAATATACATTTATATTGCCTTTTGAAGGTTAGAAACTTATACTCTTCGAGAAATATAATGACATTTATCATGGATAACTGAAATATTATTTTATGGCCTATTAGATACTTATAACTTTTTTACCGGTGGTTCTTACTATTTAATAGTACTAAGTGTAGTGAGGCTCTAAAAATAAACAAACAAAAATAGACATGCTTCCTTCATTACAAAGACCTTTAACCAATTAACACAACTGAGAAAATATGAGAACAGTTTAAATAGCACGCAAGTTTTTAACCACTGTGTTTATGAACTACATCAAATCGCGATGATTCCGTGCACCATAATCATAGTTTGATAGTATTTTAAAGTTAATTTTTAGGTCATGCCAAACCGAAAACATTTGTACTAGCACTAATAACAAAAGCTCAACTTTTACCAAAAATAAATATAACTAAAGAATAAGGCAGATAAAAAATAAGCAATACGAAATGTAAAATATCTGTGTATTTTTATTTTGCTATTTACCCTAATCAAGGAGTTTATATATTAAGTAATAATTTACTCACCAATGTCTAGATAACGTTGCGCTAATACGTAGTAAATTTAGGGTAAATGAGTAGAAGCTCTTCTAAAGATATTTTCTTCGTCTTTATTGTATTGATTCACCTACTTACAACGTTCGTATTCATCTTTGTTATGTTTATTTTGCAGAAATATGTTCCTCTAGTTTACTTCATTCATAAAATCATTCATTTATTTACAGTTTCTGTTGTTACAGTTGTTTATACTCCGTTAAATCAAACAACCACGATTCTTGTATCAGTTCGTACTCATTTCTCATTTTTTCATTCAAACTGAGTACCGTTGGTCCATGTTTGGAACTAAATATTAGTCCAAGAAAATGCTTAAATCAATTTTTTATGAGTGTGTCATTTTCTACGTTTTTAACTACTCAGGGCTTGCTTTGTCTGCTACTTTGTATTTTGGCTGTATAATTTCAAAATAAATGGAGAAATATTCTTCTTAATACGCTCCTTGTATTCCTAAGTGTCCTCTAAATTTCCTATTTTTTAAGTTTTTAGTTTTGTTTTATCTCGAGGTAAATACGAAAAAATGAAGGAATATGTTTAAATCTGATATAAAATGACAACATTATAAAAGTAATTTTTACTATTTCTGAATTTTTGGGTATTATATTTTCTGTCTTATATATTAAATATATTGGGTTCTTATTTTTTTAATTCTTAATGTTTTATGTTTAGGTATATAATCAAATCCAAATATTAAACACCAGAATCTCTCGAATCTGCAGCCTCCTTCGTGGCTTAGCAGTAAGTCTGAATAACGCTAAAAATGGGAGTTAGATACTCGTGATGGGTACAGCACAGATAGCCCATGTGTAGTTTTTCCCTTAACAACAAAACTAACTAACTAAACCCTCTAATCATTAGGTCCTGTTCATCTCCAGCTCTAATTATTATAAAATTATTATTTGCGATGGCAAAACTGCATTTCTTTAGAACATGCCACATTATTAAAATACATTATTTTTATACTGATAGCAAGCTACCTGGTAATGGAACCCACGTACTTCCTTGCACAACCAAGATGTGAATATTTGAAACCAATAAAATTGTTTTTTGTTTGTTTGTTGTTAAGCTACACAATATGCTATCTGTGGTGTACCTGCCAAGGGTATCGAAACCCTGTTTTTAGCGTTATAAGTCCGCAGACTCAGCGCTATGCCACTGTGGGGTATAATTAAATAAGCATCCAATTTATTTCTATGGATATCCCTTTTTCCTTCGATGATGAGGAATCCACTTTGAGACTAATAATGCTGATGATGACAAAACCTTGTCGAAACGTTGTACATTTGCTGTTATGTTAAACTTATATTAAAGTTTTTCTTCATTACCCATTCAAGACGTCTTCCAGCATTATACGTTTCTCAAGATAGAAACTGAGTTATATTAATATATTAGGATTGTTGTCCCACGTACTATAACACATTTACAACAGGTTTTTTTGCACATCCATCTTTAAAACTTTTAGACATAATTAGTTTATTCATGTCAGTGAAACTACTTCTGAATACATGACATTTTAACTACTTCTTGTAATGATATGTTTCTTGCAACAGATTCGTGAGTAGTAAACGCATTACCCCTGTCAGGTGAGTAGATATCACATAACCACTACGTAATATGCAAAGGATACTGACACCTGAGGGGTATATAACTGTTGCGTGATACGTAAAAGACCAGAGGGCGTGTTGCTAAGATTAATAGTTCCACGATGTGGCAGCAGCGGGCGCGGCTGTCTAAATGGAGGGGTGGCATTATCGTTCACCACCAGATGGTGCATCGCTAGGAATCATAGTTCAACGAATTGGCACCAGATGGCATATTTCTAGAAGAGGGCTAGGATGATGAGGTATCAACGTGTCTTAATATGTCATTAACTTTATAGTAACAAGTCTTAAAATTAATATTTCATCTTATTGTATATTGTACATTTTACAGTTATCAGTAATGAAACGTTTTTAATCTCCGTCATAACTGCACTTTCATTTTATAAATAAAACTTACATTAAATCTGCTATTTTAATCTCCAGTTCTCATTGTTATAGGCAACTTTATAGTTTTCGTTTATATTTTTAATTACCTTACGTACATTTACAAAGAACGGATGTTGTTGCTATAGGCAACTAATGTTAAAAGATCAATGTTACTTTTGTCCTGTAAAACTGCATACAGATTTTAACTTGTCTCCACTTATTTTTTTTAGTTTTCATTTACATATTTAATTATATTATGGACGTTTTACAAAGGTGGGTGGTGTTTCTATAGGCGGAAAGTGTTACTATACTTCCGTAGGACTGCAGGCGGCTCTCAACTTGTGAAAACCTGTGTTTATAGTTTTATATATATTTAATTGCATTAAATGTGTTTTCCAAAAGCAGATGGGTGTTTCTATAAGTATATAGTATTACTGACACATATAACATACTGATTATAGTTTTGCGTTTATATTAAATTTATGTGGTTTTGTATGTAAAACGATTATCACTAATTCATTCGTTTTCATTTATATAATTAATATATTGTATGACATCTATTTGCCCTGAAAAGGACGTTTATATAAATTTCATGTTCAACAATATAAGTTGATTTGCTTCACTAAAGTTTAGTTCTAAAAGATCTATGAAAATAACTATGTTTAACTATTGTAGAAAATTATAATTTTACCTTTCTGTCGAAATTTTCATAAATATTTGTATAGAGCTTGTTTCTTGCTTGTTTGGAGCTTTATGGATAATGCTGACTGAAACTATTTGCATATAGACTAAAAGCTCAAGGAACTCTGAGTGTCAGAAAGAATTATATACCGTTCTACATAATTAAGTAAGATTCTTACCTTTTTTTTTGTAGAAATTTTCATTTCGAAAAACGAACGTTTAATACATACTACAGATAGGTCATACACGCAGTGTAAACTCTTTCAACCCTATCGCCATTTATGATCATAACTGGATGTATGAGACTAAGTTCTGTGTACTTGGTAAAAATACAATGTGTACACGACCTTTATTATGGGTAGTTTATGACTAAATTAACAGTGGATTAAATTCAGAAATCTAAGTCACTCTTGTTGTATTCCTAATAGACCAATTATGTGTTTTTACATTGTTAAAGATTTTGTGCATTTTGAACATTCAGTTATTTTAGTGATGTTTGCAATTTAATATGTGCAAAATAATTAAAGAAATGAATCATATGATCCAAACTATTTTATTTATATGGGACAAAATATAATTTTTTCTATTACAAATATATACATTAATTACAAAATTTGTTACACACTTAAACTTCACAGAAACTTGTCTTTTGGTAAGCTCACTAATATGCAATTTACTAAAGTTACAAACACGTACGAGAGATTAAAATTACAGCTTTTTCGTATCACAGGGACATAATTGCTTTTTACTCAAATTACTGTATTGTTTAGTTGATAAGTTATTGTATTGTAGCCTCATTACAGAACATACTTTACAACAACAATGTAAAAGCACAGACTTGACAAGTACACTGAAATACACTTCAAGTATTACATACACTAATATATTATTTATGAAAAATAGAAACATCTTAGTTTATAGAATTTTGGACTGTCTCGTTTAAATGAGCTTTCATACAACTTCTATACATTTCTACATTATGTACATATTACTATTTGTTCATTTTAGTTAGAATCTATATCTTTTATGTAAATACTGTAGTTCATTTGTGTAACAATATATGAAAACAAACACTAAAAGTGTATTTCTGATATTCCATTTCTCAAGATTTGACGGGACGTGTTCAATATGTATATTACCATTAGCATACAGTTCTTTTAATACTTTCTACTTAATTGTACTCCATAAATTGATTATTCATGTTTCTAACAAATGTGCTTAACCATCTAATACAAGTCCCCATATAGATATACTATCATCAATGTATGTAAGTAAAATCACAAACTCTAAATAAAACAGTTATCACATACATTGAAACATTTATTTTCAAAACTTCATGTATTAGATAGGAGATTATGATCTTAGATCAACTGTTCATATTTATAGCTAATCATTCTAGTGTTCTAATATGTGATTAATTAAATAAAATAAATTAACGCGAAGAAAGCATAACGGACATTCGACCTAAGATGGTCATAGAACGTTTCTTCATTTAGAAACTCTACAAAGCATATCATGCACTAGAAATCTATGACTAAAATAACAAATGTAAATTAGTCTTATTTATATCATAATATAAAATAAAGGAAATATTATGAGTTTATTGTGATTGGACCAATTGACAATATGTTCATGACCTTCGCTCCTTTTAGTCATTTGTGTAATGAGTAGTTATGACTAATGACTGAATACACATGCTGTTATACTAGCCAAGTTAGGATCATTGTACCATGATTCACAAATTTTAAGTTCAAGAGAAACGAATATTGACGTATTCAATGTATCCTGTGATGTGTATTTTTTGTGGCCAAGCTTGGCTTTTATTGCTAAACGTGAGAGAGACAAGGTATTTAAAATGCATCATCATTAACAAAGTTGTCAACGATTACAGTTAAGGTAAAAATGAAAATGAAAGACAGTTTGTCTATGATCGATTAAATTCTACTTATTACTTTTAGTATTTATGATATCTACTTAGACCTAAAAACTACATTGACTTTACAGAAATGTGAAATATATATGAGATTTACAATTTCATTATACAATACAACGAATTATATTTGTATGTAATCAAATGATGACAGATTAGCTGTTTCTGGATAGTGTTGATAAGTTCGGTCACAAGCTCAGACATGTCCTAATTTTTAATATTTGTCTACAACAAACGGTCTATAGTGCAGTCAAATCTGGGTCACTTGTCAAAAATAAATACCTTGATTCTTTCATCACTAATAATTAGACTGATACAGTTCTACTACATGGAAGAAAAAATAATGAACCAATCTTTAAATGTAAGTATATCGTAACTGATATTTCTTTGTATTTAAATATTTTTTGTGTTGTATTTGTTTTGAATAGTAATGTTCGTTTTCAGTCATATTCATTGTCTTAATAAATAACGTTGCTGTCTTTTACTATATTATATTTTAGTCTACTGAAAAGAAAAGAAATGCTGCTGCCATTAATGAAATAACGAAAAAGAACAAATTCATTAGTCAAGAAAAACCAGTAGAACAACAACAAAAACCAGTTAGGTCCCTCTACTATTATACAATGTGAAGAAGCACCTGATTCATCTCATGCTTATCCAATTGGGAAGGACCGTTACATCAGTTTATCAACTTACGAGAATAATTTGAATATTCATACTTTTCAGTTCCAGGACTTTGGAAGAGGAAAAGTACATCCAACCAAGGATGGTATCACTTTTTCTTCAACAGAACGGGAGAAATTTAAACAGTGGATCCCAACCATTAGT